TCAAGGAACGTGTTTATTTAAAGGGAAGGTGGCATTTCTGCACAATCACTTTGAAACTTAAAATAGAAGTCTCTCCTGGTGGTTTCCTTTGTTGAAGGATGGTATGGTCCTACCATCTATAAAGGACATACAGGAAGAGGTCAGATAAAGTATTCCTAAACTAGATAAAGACAAGAGGAAAGACATCCTTAGCTGGGGGAAATTCGTGTTAACCATGATAAGGAGGACGCCTAACAACTCACTTTCTGTGTTATCTCATTGTATAGTCTGGACATGAGAACTTGGAGGCTTTTCACTCAGACTTCACTGTATTTGTTTAGGCTTGGCCTCACATTATGCATCTGTAAGTCCTGAAAAACATGTGCCACCTACTGTATGCAGAGGTTATTTAGTAAAACTGTTTTCTTGAGCCAAGTTAATTCATTATTTATTTCACCACTACCAGCCCAAGTACTGAATTGCCGTAGAACATCCCAGAGTTTATCATCACATTTATTTATATACAGTCATAGGTATTAATAAGAGAAATCCAGGAAGGAGACAGCTTCATTTAGTTAAAGCACAACACCATTTTCCAGCATAGTTAGAAATCTAAGGCCACATATATATGTGACACAGTACTTGGGCTATGCTTCCTGATACTGTCCTGAATGACCTCAGCAACCCATAATTTTGGCTAGACATCTTATGGAAAAAATTCCTTTAATGATCTGCAGTATCTGTTCCGCTGAAAAGGAACAAAATCTTTGCATACCCAATATTTCTTGATAAGGCTTTGAGCTAGTAAAACGAGTAAGGAAACAGAACAGCATAAATTATTCAAAAATCATGAGGTTCTGTCAGTTAGACTGGATGAGAATGGTCAATAACAGACTTTAAAAAATATATACATATTCTGTCTAGAAAGTAGCCAAAAAACAAATGCCAGAATTCTAGAGTTTAACAATTCAATACAAGAAACAATTCAATACAAACAATACAGAAACATACAGCAATGGCTGACACCTGATTGACAGACTACAGGGAAGCTTCTGAAAATGAAAAGCTAACTGAGGAGTGAAAGATACT